GTCCATTTAAGCCGTTAAAGCCATTCATTCTTTCCTTGGGATTTATGGCCATTGTGCCAGATTTTAAAAGGACAGAATTATGTTGACTCCCTGTCACTGATGATCATGTTCCATGAAGTAGTGGAACAGATCAGAATTTTCTAGAGCAAACCAGAACACAGCACTCTACTCACCTCCTGAGCCTCAAATTTCCAGGCTGTGACTCGATGCTGCACATATCTCAGGTCTCTTTCCTAGTGAGTTAGGGAGCCCCCTTGAAGGGTCCAAACGTAATTTCCTGTCCCTTTATTACCAAAACATTTGCTCAAGTGTCACCTCCTTCCTCCTACCCGCTCACATTTAGCTTTCTGCTTGTTGTTTCCAAACATTTTAGAGGAAAGGGGTGGATGAGGCTTCTCGAGAGCATCAGTGTCGCTGCCATTTACCATTCGGTTTGGCCGTTCATTCCTTAACAGCTGGAGCAGGGGTGAATCAGAGAGTCCTGGTTACCTGGCACAGGAAAACCCATCCTGGGTGTTAGGAAGGCCAGTCTTATCTCTGTATTCTGAGCAGAATGTACTGCCTGTATCCTTGAATGAAAGAATTTGAAGGACTTTCTTGAGACCATGTTGGGTGGTTGCTTTATATGATTTTATGTAAGCCTCTCAAAAATCCTATGAGTTAGTTTACATTCTATAGGTTAGAAAACTGATACACTAGCAGGTAAAGTAACAGACCTACAGTAGCACAGCTAGTTACTTAGAAATGGAGCTAGGTTTCAAATCCAGGTGCCCTTCCCTCCCTATCAATGGATAGTATGTTCAAAGCCAGTGTTATAGCAGCTGAAGAGACGTGTTTCATTCTCATACTGACCTCAGTAACAACCAAGGACCTCAGAATTCAATCTTCAATTATTTATTCCACAATGACTCATTGAATGCCTATTATTTTCCAGGCATTTCTAGATAGGGCTAAATTAATACAGCCCAGGCAGTCATCGCTTATGCATCTCAGAAGCTATCTAGCTAATGTAGTCTATTTTGTGTACCTGTTACACACACACACACACACACACACACACACACACCCTTCCCTCTGATGGTCTTAGAGCAATTCTCAGTGGTTGTCCTCAGCCAGCACCACTCATCCCAGTAACTGGCACCAGGCTGAGTTCTTAAGGGGCAATGCTGAGTGGCGAAATGCATCCATGAAGGAAGGAGTGGACAGCTAGTTCATGGCAGAGCCAGGAGCGCACCTGGCCGGGTGCTGTCACCTGCACTATTTGGTGAGCTGGCCCAGAGCTTCCTTACGTCACCTGAGGCATGAGAAGGAGTGGGAGTGGGAGACAGGGCAAGAGGCCTCCCCATCCCAGCAGGCCCCTGGATCTCCGTCCTTTGTCCAAGACGGGAAGAGAGGGAAAATTTCCCCTGTGTTTGATAAATCTCAGGTTGACCATTGGTATAGAGCAGGGTTGATGCCCCACAGCCCATGGGCCACATCCACCCTGCCGCCTGTTTTTGTGCAGTGCTTGAGCTAAGATGCTTTTCACAGACCAACACTAACACCTGATTTGATGATAGGGAGTGTTGTGAACCCCAGTCGAGTGAAATATTATCCCTCCCAGAAAAAGAATTTCAATTTTTTCATTAGTAGACCTGTATTATAAACATATTGCATTCAATTATCATTATATTTTGAGTGTCATCAATAGGAAATTTGTGGATATTTTCCTCTTTTGTTATAGAAGAACCTAGGTAATATTCACAATTTTGCCTCTTAGTCACAAGGCCTAAAATTTTTACTCTCTGGACCTTTACAGGAAGAGGTGGCCAACCCCTGAGCTGGAGCTGTCCCACTCACAGTGCGGTTCAGGCCCCACCCCACACCTCCTGGGTCAGAACCTGTATCTGGCAGGCGCCCCAGGTGGTAGGTGCACGCATTACACCAGAGAGGCGCTGTGCTGGAGTCTCTGTAGGAATCTCACAGGAGTCACTGATAGTTCCACCAGATTCCAGCTTGCAACTGGACTGGGGCTTGGAATGGATACTGCCACCCAAGGTCACATGGGGCAGAAGCCCACCTCCAGCCCCGGGGGGCTGCTCCTCTGGGAAATCCCCCCGTGCTGGGCACCAACAGCATGGCAGGCAGGAGGCTGGAGCCCAGGCCCTGATCCTGCAGAGGAAACTTCCCACCTCCCTGGGGCCTTCATGTTCCCACCTGTATGACAAGGTTCAAAGAGCTGACATCAGAAGTCCAGCTTTATACGTGGCTTATTTTTGGTCTGTTTCTTTTTGTCTTTGGGGTTGACAGGATGATCACCTCCTTGACCACGGCAGGTTGTGATGAAAAAGACAGGACAGGAGCTGAGAAAAGCTTCAGATGAGAGCAGCGTGTTGAGGTGCTGGATTCAGGACTTCACATGGAGCACGTCCTGTGAGGTTACTCTTTCTGGTTTTATTCTACTTCACAAAATAGGAGAAAGTGCTGAGGAATCAGATTTGGGGACCTCTGCATCCCTGGGTCCTGGTGGCTTAATTGTTTCTGATCGACTCCATCGAGTCAGAACGTCAGGACTGTAACAAATTCACCCGTTCAGCTTACGTTGATCGATGACCCTCGGTGCTCAGCATTTAGGAGGCACCAGAGATGCAACAGTGAAACAAAACACAGCTCCTGCTCTGCTGGGGCTTGCATGCTGGCAGGTGAGGCTGATGTTAAGTAGACCGATAAGCAAAAAGGGAAGAGGTGGAAGAATGTTCTAGGCTAAGAGAAAAGCATGTGCAAAAAAAAAAAGCACGTGCCAGGAGGGAGCATGGCTCTTTGGAGGAACAACCACAAACAGAAGCCAGTGTGGCTGAGGGAGAAGCATGGGGCAGTAGGAAGAGGGGAAGGCGAGGTGGGGGGCAGTTTGTAAGAGGGGTCAAGCCACGCAGGGCCTTCTGGCCTAGCAAGGGTTGCCGAGGGCGGGGTGTTTAGCAGGAAGAGGGCATGACAGGATTTCTATTTTGGAGAGACCGTTGGCTGACGTGAGGTTGGAGAGAAGTGAGAATAAGGATGGAGAGCCCGTCAGGAGGCCACTGCCCAGCTCCAGAGCACAAACGAAGCCAGGCCATTCCTCCCAGTGTCGGAAGGAGACTGGGCCCCAGAGAAGGCAGTGGGGCAGAAACAGAGCTCTGGGTTGGGAAGGCCCCACCACCAAGGCCCCACCTAGAAGGCTGGACTTGATGAGCCAAGGGAATAGTACTGCAGCTTCACAGGACACTGCCCCAAAATGCTGTGTGGCCTTGAGCAAGGTGCTTCACCTCTCTGTGCCCCCATGTCTTTCCCTGAAAATGAAGAAATTCAACTAGATAATCTCGGTGGAGGGTTCAACTAGATAATCTCGGTGGAGGGTGACCATAGAGTTTATTGTCCTAACCAGGACACTTGAGAGTGAAAGGGGGAACAGTTAATTATTATACGAGGACAGCAGGCAGGAGCCAAGTTAGTCCTGGAAACCAGACCCTCTATGCTCCTGACCCGTGTCCCGCTCCCAGTTCAGTGCTCTGTCTCTAGTTCTCAAAGACTGAGAGCTGAAGCAGACCCATGTGTAAGCAGAGGAGCACGGATTCAGAGTCCCCGGTGAATCAGACCCTTGGCTGAGACCCCCGGAGACTCATTTTGTCCCCCGATGCATTGTTTTTTCTCCATGCACATTCAACACTATTCGCAGGTGGCAGAAGGAGGCCCCATTTCCACCCATGGAGGCTGGAACCTCTAGTAAATGCAGGGGCTGGCAGGGCCGCCGTCTGTGTCTGGCTGCTGATGGCGCCATGGCACTGGGGCACTGAGGGCATGAGGAGGCAGGTGGTACCAGAGTGGCCCCAGAGTGGGACTCCTGCCCACGTGCAACTTGGGTTCAGGTCCCTGACAGGCTGTTACATGTTTTATAAGGAATAATAGTTCTTGATATTAAGTGAAAGCCAGCTGACCTTAGTGGGCAAAGCAAATAGGATTTGGAAATAGGAGATTCAGGTTCAAGTTTCACGGTCATACACCACTCACCAGCTGGTGACCCTGGACAAGTCCCTTACCTCTCTGATCCCCGGTTTCCTCACCAGTCGGAACTATCTTGGGAGACTGTAATTAGGATAAAATCAAACCAATAATATAAAAGTATTTAGTAAATGGTGAAGTTTTTTTAAACTTGCTGCTTTGAAATGACTTCAGACTTATAAAAAAATTGCAGAGAGAATTCCCACATGCCCTTCCTCAGCATCCCCAAACATGAACATCTGACATCACCATAGTTCAATGAGTGACCAGAATCCATAGGGAAAAACTGAACACCCCCATTAAACTGAGCTACAGGCTTTGAGTTTCACAAAATGTCCTAACAAACGTTTTTTTCCTGGCCCGGGATCTGGCCCGGGGTCTCCAGTTGTGATGCCTTTCTCGGATCTTCTGATCCTTGGCAGGCCCTCTGCCTTCCTTTGTCCTCTGTAACCTCAACGCTTTTGAAGAGTACAGGTATTTCGTGGACTGTGCCAGATTTGGGTTTGCCTGATGTTTCCCTTGCACAGGCTCTTCCCCTGAATAGATGTGGGAACCTCCTTGGGTCTCAGTTTCCCAGTAAATAAAGTGGGAATAATAAAACAGACCAGCGGCCTTGAGGGGCTCAGCGACACAGCACTTGTAAATGACCTGGCACAGGCCTGGCCCACAGGAGGAGCTGAAACAGCATAGCTGGGTGTGATGTCCTCATACTCGCCTGTCACCGTTAATATATCTCAGATCTCACAGACAGAGATGCATGATTCCACCATATACTGCAGGGCACCTCATAGCAGAAGGAATTTGAGAAATGGTAGGATGATTTGGTTCTGTTATCCTGCTATAACTTTGTGTTTGGAAATTCGTTAAGAATTCATTTTGATGAATCCCAAATGCATGCACCATGAAAAACAATTAGCATTAATAGTGTAAAAGAAGGAGATCAATAGATTCATTTTTAAACTGTAATAATTTATTTGCTTCCTGACTTTTGGGAAATACTGCATCTTCAGGCGATACGTCGACAATTAAATAGCCGAAGTGTGGTGATTTGTGAGAGGCTGACCTGCAGTGCACAGATCCCGCTCTCTAGCTCACAGCACCACCGCCAACCGCAGCGACTGGGGGGAAGGGCAACTGCCCGTTCTGGGAGACAACGCAACTCGATGAAATGTTCATCAGGCACTTCTCATCCTTACTCAGTTTCCAAATGCGACTCAGCAGATGGTAGACATTAAGGAGACCAGTACACCAAAGATGGCAAGGAAAAATCTGGCATTCATCAGACAAGGAGCAGAGAGAAGGTGGAAAGAACTGTTTTCAGAGGAGCTGGTGAGGCGCTCAGCAGCACCACGTGCCCTTGCAATGCCAGCCCGGGAGCAGGGAGGCGCAGAAAGGAACGTCTGCGTGAGGAAACGGGAGGTAATTCTGGACTGAGGAAGGAGGAAAGGACAAATGAAATGAGTCTTCAGGCATGGAGGGAAGAAGGGGACAGGGAGGGTGCCTCACCCATGCCTCCTGGTGCTCCCATCACCCCTTCTCAGAACTATGAATGGGAGACTATGACCTTCCACCCCTTGTTCCTAAGAAGGTGGAGTAGGTGCTCAGAGCTGCAGGAAGTGAGGGTTTGCCTGATGAAAGCAGAAGGCAGTCCTCATCTTTGCAGCCACTATGGGACTGCGTGGGGGACAGCAGTGAGTAGATGTGTGCATTCTCTCTGCTGGAGGGACAGCAGCGCAAGCCCAGGGCTGGGCGTGTGGACAGACAGATGGCACGGCCCATGGTGCCCCAAGGCCACCGGCCTGGCTGCTGGGCTGAGAGCAGCCTGGCCGGGCAGGTGGTTGCAGATGGCCCGCCCCACCCACCAGGCCCAGGGCTGGGGGCCAGCACAGATTACATTTTAAGGTGATAGTCATCTTTGACCTTTGGGACCTCCAGGGCCACTGGTCATCCATCTTAGAGCCGCTGACCAGCAACCTCTGGGCTATTTTTACAACCAGCAAACATTGCCCATTGATTGAATTGATTGAAATCTGCATCTGGTTTGTAGGGAAGGGACATGGCCTCACGGCCCAAGTGAGCAGCTTCGTTTTCTGTTGTCATCTTTGACTCCCTCCTGTCCCCTTCCCACTCCCAGCACGGAAGTGTGGGTGGGAACAGGGCACACACAGAGATGCACACATACCAAACACACTCATACACACACACACACACAACCACTAACAGAGACACACACTCACCACATTCCTTCCCAGCAGAATTCCTGGCATGGTGCTCATTTCCCATCAGAAGTTAAAGGATCCTCAAAGGAATTCAGTTGAGAAAAGCAGAGGAATGTTTAGTTCAAGGGGAATCCACACAAACTCACATGCAAATCTAAAAAAATACCCAATCAGGAGCTTGACGGATAAAAAGAAACAAAAAATTTGGAACAAAAACAATGGTAACCTTGCAACATGTCAACTTGGCTAAACAGAGCAATGTTTCCCATAATTCCCTTTCTTACACGTGTAGGTGAGATTCGTGCAACATAGGTGCTGCAGAAGGAGAGCGGTCTCATGGTTATTCTGGAAGCCCCCTTCCCCTCCCCCCCCCACAGCCCACTCCCCTGAGGAAACAGTCTTCCCCTTGCACGGGCCTGTCGGGGGGAGTCTGGGGGGCAGTCTGGGGAGCCCGTTAACGGGACCAGCTGGGCTGGGCATTGGGAGGCTCCATGTGTGCCTGTGGCAGGACCAGGGCGGTGGCTGCAGGGTGGGCCTCCGTGCCGTTCACAAGGTGCCAGAGCCTCACCCCCGCCTGGTGAGAAGCACTTTCTCGGGTTAAGCTTTTTATCTCATGCCAGGTCGCAGACAGACTCCTGGGATCAGCTCCTGCAAACAAGGAAAACAAAAGAAAACCAAAAAAACATTTGGAGGTATTTCATTAGTGAGAAATAAAGCAAAGGGCTGCAGAATCTGCTGAGGGGGGAGTGGGCGGCACTTCTCTGAGCCGCTCCACACCCAGGACCCAGCGCCGCCTGACTACAGAGGTGGCCTCCTACTCTGCTGACTCAGGTGACCAGGTGACTTGGGAGCAAAACCATAGGTCCTTGGAGTTGGGCTGGTTCAAATTTGAACACTGGGTCAAATCCCAGCTCCATCTGTTTCCAGTTACCATCATCTCCAACATTAGTTACCTCGGCGACCCTCAGTTTTCCTTCGTGTAAAAGGAACAGTCTAACTTTTATCTCGCATGGTGCTTCTAAGAAATGTCCACGCTCCGCCTTGCTCTGCTGTTGGAGGGCTTCTCCACACTGGACCGTTCCGGTGGGTGACTGTTGGCTGGGCTGCGCTGTCCTGGGCAGTGCGGGCTCTCTGGCCTCGGCTCACTAGATCAGTAGCACCCCGTGGTTGTGACAACCGAACATGTCTCCAGACATCACAAGTGTCCCCTGGGGGGCAACCTGCCCGTCGGAGAGCCACTGCTCTGCAGGGAGAGGCCCAGCACCGCCTCCACAAGACCCACCAAGGGGCAGAAGGCTCTGTGCACAGTGATCACCTCCCCCCCACGAGATAGGGGGCCTCGGCTTGTAGGGAGGCCCTTCTCTGGGCCTGGTCCCTTGCCTGTGAAAAGGGAATCAACATTCCCACCAAAGCAGTGGTAGAGTCACGGGGCGATCCTGATGTGACAGTGTTTGTAAGTGAAGTGTTACATGGATGTCAGGCATTGTCACCATTGCAGTGGCGGCCCCTGAGGACAGACTTTGGCTCATTCACTGCTGAGACCCTGGACACGCAGGCAGGCTCACGGGGCCCTCAGGAAGGACCCGCATGAGGGAGTGAATGTTCCCCGCGTCGCCTCGGTCTGGGGAGCTGGGCTAGGCCCTGAGTCTCCTTCCGCAATGAAAGTCAATAAAATGGATTCATCCATGACCCTCTGGCCCTGAAGCAAGGCCATGACTGGGGGGTTGATCTCAAACCAGAGCATGCACACTGGGGCTTGTGAGGAGCCCCCCTTCCCGGCTGTGCTCCTGGAGAGTGCCCTGCAGAGGGCCTGAGAGGTCCGGGAGCCTGCATTTAGTGGGGTGCCCCTTGTAAGTGCACTTAGAGGCACTGCCACCACTCTAGGGGAAGCAGAGCCCACTGAGCGCCTGCTAGAGCAGCTAGCAGCTTTCCAGCCCCACCCTCCGGCTATAATTGGTGGAGGCTGTAGGGCAATGCCCCCTACCGATCCCGAGGCACCCCTATGTGCCCCGGATGAGCAGACCCTCCCCAGCAGGCTCAACCCCCGCTCCACTTCTCCCGAGTGCTGCCTCCCCAGTAGGGGGGCACCCCAATGCTGTGCGCCCAGGGCCCGATGTCCAGTGGGGCTTTCTGGGCCCAGGATTTGCTTTATTGTGTTAACACTAAGCAAACAGCTGAAGGGTGCCCCAGGGGCCGGGAGCCCGGGCTCTGCTTTTAAAAGCCAGAAGAGGATCCTGTGGCTGAGACCCTCAGACACGAGCTAGATCCTTGGGGTCCCGTGGGCCCTCTTGTCACTGCCCTGCTCATTTTTGCAAAGTGGGCCTTTCTTGGGTATAGTAGGTCCACAATAAATTCAGTTTTAAATAAAGCCTAATTCTAGAAATTTGTAAACAATATCTAAGCTTCCTCTGAAGCCCCAGTGGTAGGTAAACTCCTCACCGTAGCTTTAGACCTGCTGGGAAGCCCCCTCTGACAGGTTCTGGGGCACTGGGGAGACTGAGGGGAGCCCGGAAGCCTCTCCACAGCCTCCCCAGTCTGCTTTCTCAGCAGGGTTCAACAAGCTCTGTAAAAGCAGCGCTGGTAACCTTAATTTAAAAGCCCTGCAATTTTATTTTCTTTCAGCTGTTCAAAAGCCCCAGTTAAGCTAATCAGGGTTCTTAATAGTTTCATATGTAACTCTTTTGCCCCAAGACTCACTTGGGGCTTGAGAACAACTGGCAACAGCCCCCCAACAGCACGAGAATGAGCCCCTCCCCACTGGAGTCCTGGATGCAGTTCATCCCAGGGGCCTCTGGGCTTGTGTGGATGAGCAGATGGGTGGGAACCTCCCAGGGAATCAGAGGGGAAGAGGCCTGCAAAGCCACCCTGTGCTGAAGGATTTGTGCCCCTCAAGTGAGCACAGGTGGCATGGTGCAGGCCTACCCTCACTGCTTCCTAAGCACCATCTCTGTCCCTAAAGGTGCTTTCCTGCTTGGTCAACACACTTTTCTTCATGAAGCAGCTCCATTTACAGAGACAAACTTCTTTTTATCCTAACTTTCTACTTTATCGATTTCCTTTCTCATGAACAACATTTCCAGGCATTCCTGAAGTTTGCAAATACAATGAGTAGGAGAGGGGTCCTTGGAGGGCTGAGCAATTGTCCTGCTCACTGTCTGATTCCCGTCATCTACATGGCAGGGTGAAAGGGGTTGACAGCAGTGGCTTGGTCTGGATACCTGGGGCGCAGGGTGGTAGGTGGGGTTCCAGTAAGAAAGTTCTTCCTGCTTCCCAACCTCACTCAGTCCCTTCTCTGTGTCCATCTAGAAAGTGCAAAGGACCCTGGCTTGGCTCTCAAGCCTCCTGCCCTCCACATTAGGAACTCCAGCTCCATTGAGATGGGGCACAGTTCACAGGCCAGCCCTGGCAGTAAGACCCAGCAAGCGGGGGCAACTACCAGGAAGCACATGGAGGCCCAGGATGGGACTGACACTGAATTTTTATAGGTGGATCAACATACAGAGCACACAGTCAGACATCACCAGCCCGGCCGGGGCCCAATGGTGTGAATATGATCTTGGAGTGAAATCTAACTTAGGCGGGTGTCCACTCACTTCCTGCTAGTCTTGGTTGGGAATGGCGCCCCACTCCTGCCTGTGAGAGAAGGGCTGGGTTTGGGTTCCAACAACAGAGAAAACACCTTAGTGGAAGCCCAGGAAAAGAAAGCAGATGGTATCTCCTACACTGGATCTTAAGGACTCTAGGATCATCTCATCCAACCCCAAAAGCCAAGGCCGTGGAGACCAGTGTCTTATCCGCCATGGCACCTGGGTAGTGGCTCTTTCTACTCCACCACCACATGCTCAGCTCTATCAGCTCCAATGCCCATCATAAATCTCTTGTATTGGCCCCTTAACTTTCTTGACATTAAGTTTATAGATGATATAACTTCCCTATATACATAATAAAAAATCAGTATACTTCCCTACATGTAATATATGGGAGAAATAAAAGGGAAATAATTCATAATGAAGTAGTTCAATAAGTAAATACACAGGCACAATTACACTCAAAAGCAATCACCACAAATGCCACAGGTACAAATGTGGACTGATAGAAATACATAGCATTGGTGACTTAAATACTTTAAGTGTTGTTCCTATTGATTAGGTGATTTTCTGAAATGCTGCACAAGTCTTGGTGAAGTTACACCCAGACAAAGTACAATCTCCCCTCTGCAGGGATATATAAGCCCAAGTTCCCTAGAAAAGAGTATGAGGCAGGGATACAGTGATGACGCTACCTCTAGGGGGTAAAGTCTCAGGGCAGCAAGAGGGAAGGAAATGGAAAACAGGGCAGCAAAGGATGGAAAGCCATACAAGGTGATGCATTCCTGGGTCACCACTTGTCTAGAGACACTGCTAGGTCAGAGTATGCTGAGCTCCCTAGGAAGTCTCCAGACAGACCAGGTGGAGACGTCACCTCGGGAGCAGTCCACTGGGAGAACGGAGTGGGGGGAGCTGGTTCCTGGAGTAGTTAACTCCCCTGCCCCTCTGTGTGACGCCATTCCGAGGCGACCACACCCTCTTGAGTGTGGCCTTTAATCTGACTCTAGAAGCAGCAGAGATGTCCCAGGGCATATGGGCACAGGCTGGGTGGCCTCCGGTGGTGGCGCCCTCATGCCTTGCAGAGAGTCGGGTAGAACGGGATGCTGAGGGTCTGGGAGGCAGATGCAGCCAAGGGAACCTGGAGGTGAATTTGCTGTGCCTGATCCAGCACAGTGACTGTGAATACCTTCAAATTTGTTTTATGTTTACATACATATATATATATATATTATATATATATATATATTATATATATATATATTAAAGAGTTATGTTTCAGGCTCAGATCATTATGAAGACATTTTTCGACCCATTTGAATATTCAGTGGAGCATTTGAAAGTCACATAAAACACAATTTGAAAGACAATTATCTGTGGCAGGGACTGTTCCTTAGATGACAGGAACATGATAGCTGATGTTTGGGGGTCCCAGGCATTGTTCTAGGGGCTTTATACATGTGAATTCTTCCCTGGCTGTGCACAACTTCAGGAGTAGGTACAACCATTGTCTCCGTTTTATTGACAAGGAAAGGGGGGCCAGAGAAGTTCACATACCCAGCGAGTGGCAGAACCCAGTGGTCTGAGCTTTAGCAGCCCCAGCGCTCCTCTGCTAAATGTGGCAGTGTCCCCACCTGTCCTGTGACAGCTGAAGTACTCCCACCAATTTCCACCCTCCCCAGGGGAGCAGAACGTTCTCCACAGACCTGCTCTTTGTGGACACTCGCTGGTCACTGCTTTGAGCTCCAGGCTTCCTAACCTTGGGCAGGATGAGGGATGGGGCGGGTGGCCCCGGGGGAAAGGGATGGGTGACGGGAGAGGTGGTGGGAGAAGCCCTGTGGATTCCATGTCATTATGCTTCCGGATAGCAAGGCAGGCTGGCCTTCTGGCCGGAGTGGTGGCTATGGATTTTCAGGAGTTGTAACTGGTGTCACTCAGACTATAACGGGGCACCAGAAAAAATGAGAGAGAAACCCAAACCCCAAAAGCCAGCCAGCCTTCTGTTTTTGTCTTCTTACAGTGTAGCCCTTGCTCTTTGTCTGGGGGTCCCCAGGCACAGGGAGC